TGAACAACTGCTGACTGCCCTCACTCCACCAAACCCTTCTCTTCGCCCAGTCTGTTCTCCATACAGCAGCCTGAGCGATATTCAAAACCTGCATTAGATCATGTTGTTCTCCTGCCCAAAACCCTCCAGTGGCTCCCATTACACATCAAATCAGATCCGAAGTCCTTGTGTATGAGGGGCTTAGCTACCCTAAGTGATCTGGCCCTGGCCACCTCCCTGCCTTCTTCAACAACTGCCCACCTGGTTCCTCCATTTAGCGACATCAGCCTTGCTCACGTCCAGTCGGGTCTTCATACCTGGTGTGCCTTCTGCCTGCATGTTCTCCCCATAAGATCTTGTCCTACTTTGTCCCCTCATTTCTTCATGTCTCTGCTCTCAGCACCTCCTCATCCTCAGAGAGAAATTCTCAGCTGCCCTCTTGAAAAGAGTTCACCACTCTTCCTTCCTTCCTCTGCATTCTCTAGAAAACAGAGCATCTCAGTGAGGAGGAGTCCAATCCCAGGAAGCAGGAACAAGGAGGAAGAAAGAGCAGATATGGAAGGCCCAGCTCTGTCGTCATGTAGCTCAGGGATTCGTCTCTGGGGATGTCCTTACACAGGACCCAGGGCACGCTGTATCTCAGTACAGACCAACCAGGGAAGGAAGGGAGAATTTACCTGCTGGCTTCCTGCTGTAACCAGCTCCTGCTGGTCAAGTCCTCCCCTCCGTTATGACCTTTCCCACCCCTCTGTGTTGTGTGGAGCAGCTCCCGAGGGTAGCCTGTGGGGAAACCAGAGCCCCCAGGGGCTGGTCTGACCACTGCACAGGCATGGATGGAGGCCAGTGACTCCATATGTTAGTGCCACATGTTGGGGGCAAGGAGGGCTTCTTGGTTTGAGATGGTGGCAGTATCAGCAGAGGGATCTGTCTCTGAGGCTGTGGGAACAGCTCCGAGGGGCCAGGAAGCAGGACAAGTGGGGTGGAGGGTAGGGGCAGAGTGGAGGGTGTGGGGGTTGAGGTGGAGTGGTCAGTGTGGCTACTCAGATTTGGGGTGCTGTATAAGCTAAGTCTGGTCCCAGCTCACAGATCCTCGTCTGGCTTAATGCTCTTCAGAATACTCAAGACGGGCCCCACTATACTGCCTGTGCATTTGAGGGGAACATATATTCACAGGAATGAGGTGTCCATAAGGTAAGCACTCATCTTTTTGAATGATCTATTTTTTTTGATTGGCATGTTATTTATGGCTCTATAAGATTGATGAGCGGGAAAATGGGGTTCTGACAAAAATTTATGAGTCTGAATAAATCAGGTTGAGTAAGGAGGTTGGCCCCTCTCTTTGTCCCCACCCTTCATCCTATCGTCCCACTTCATCTCTCTCCCCTGTCCCCCATATAAGAGGTGGTCCTCTGTGGCTTGGAGGCCTGGACTGGTCAGTCCACATTCTCCCTGTGCACACATCCTCCACGAGGGATTCAGCTTCATTTTCTCCTACCTGGGGGCCTCCTCAGGCCACTGGTACCCTCAGCCTAGGCCCTGGGAGCCGAATGGGACTTCTGTCTCTGGATTAATACCACGGTGAAGGGTTTTATTTTTCATGCTCTCCACTTTTACCCATTCACTCTTCCCTCTCCCTCACTGTGGCTTTTCAAGTCATCCCAGCTTCTTAATTAAAATCCTCATTCTTCAACGCTTCGTCATTGCCTTGAAAAATTTCCCAAGTCACACTTACCTTTTGAAGGAATACCTTACTTAATCTCCATGCTGGCTACTTTTCTCCCTAAATTAAAGTTAAACAATTATTTCTGAGTATGATTTTAGGTCTAGAATTTTTAATTTATTGCCTCCATTCCCTTAATTTCTTGATGACTAAGTGGACCATGATTTAAGAAAACTTGGAAAAATCCTTAACATCACAGCTCTTCTTAGATCAGAGTGGCCCTCACTTCTGTAATTCCTAGCAAAGTAAAGGCATGGCCTTGCAGAATGGAAAATGGCCTCAGGAACTGACTGAGTTTGACTGCCTCCCAGCCCACCCACCTCCAACTCCCACTTGAGACATGCAGACACTAGGCCTAGAGACGCCCGGCCAGTCAATGTATGGCAGAGGCAAGAGGGGGACTGGCCCTCATGCCTTTCTGTCTGGGGCTCTCCAGAGAGCCAGACTGATTCTTCAGTTGACTGCAAAGTTTGGGTTGAAGATTTTACCAGATGTTTTTCAGACAGGCAGCAGAGTGTTCAGTTGTGCAAGACCAGGAAGACCCTTTCCTGCCTTTAACCTTCTCACATGCCCTCCGAGTCTGGCTGCCGACAGGTGTTTCTGGGCACTGTCTGACCAGCCCAGGGCGATCTGACCCATAGCTAGTGACAGGGAAACTTGTGGTTGAACCTCGAGGAGGTTCCCTGCTTCTTCCCAATCCCGTGGCTCTGAGGTCTCTCTGCGCGACCAGATGTATCGCAGTACACTGGAATGACCTGTAGGAGACCCACTGTTTGGCTGCAGTATTTGATCATATTGCTGTGTTTTGGGTAAGAATAGAAATAGAAGAAAGTTTTAAAACTGGTTAAGTAAATATCTATAGGAGATTTTTGAACTTCCTGATCTTGCGAAAACATAGCGCTCACTTCCTTTTGTGTGTCTCTGAGACTGTCTTGGGAAATTGCTCACCAATCCCCTACACTGGGGGTTGGAGGCAGTCATCCAAACTTATTTCCTTCTAACTTCCTCCTTCCAAACTGACTGAATTACATGAATTCAAAACTTACCCCCCCGACCCCCGCCGCTTTTCTGGCCAAGCATCCCAGTTTGCCATTGAGAAGCATCAGTATGCTTGCAAATTCTGAAACAGGGTTGCAAGCAAGTTCTTTGTGTGGAGTCTAGCATATTTTCCATGTTGAGGGGAGTATTATTATTCAACCAAGAATTGCCCTGAGAGGTCAAAGCACAGAGCAATTCATAGAGGTGTCAAGGTCTGCTGGCATCTGATGCCGCTGCCCCGAAGGCTTGTTTTATTTTGTCATTCACACTTCACCTTTTTTATTCCAAGGTGACTTTAATTCCACACACTTTAATTCCACAATAGCTCACTTCAGATGTTAGCTTTCTCTCCAAGGGATATTCTGCACATCTGGTTTGTGGCAGCTACATTCCCCACTTCTTGGAGAAGCCAAAGAAGTCTGTGGAAGTCCAGTCCGTGTTTGCTGCACTAAACAGAGCTATTTCAGAGCTCGGTCACTCTACAGATCTTGGTTTACATATGACCCAGAGTTACTAAAAAGACACACGCCAAGGCCTGTCTTGATTATGTAATAGGGCCACTAGGCTGACTCAGGGACTTTGTGCTCAGAGAACTGAAATCTGCTTTTCCAAACACCTCAAAGTGTGGGAGGGGAGCTAAACCCAGTCTCTGAGCTGTGGAGCTCCATCTTGTCCACGGACTTAGAATTAAATTTCAGAAGGAGACATAGCCTATCTCCAAATTCCCCAGCTTCCTTTTATGTCCAGTCCTTCTTCGCTCTCTCCCAGGATGGAAAGTGCCATCCTTTCCCCAGTGGAGCTATACAGAATCTGGCTTCAAGCCAGCCTTGGGGGTTCAGTCACGGATGGCCTTGGCAAAGATTCATGGTCAAATATGAGAGAGCATCATTTCTGCCAAGGCCCTAGGGCATGGAGGATGGAATGGCCTTTGTCCTTCTGAGCCCACATCATGGTTTCCAGGTGGGAAGTCACAACGATGGACACCTGGAAGTCACCCAGGTCTCATGCACTCCTCATTTTGCTGATGGGGAAACTGATACTTATAGCAGAGATATGACTGGCCTGGGTTATAAGCTGGAAAGTGGTAGGGAGAGAGGTGATGCCAGACAGAAACGTGTGAGCGGAGGGACCATGCTGGTTCACCCACTGCCATCCTCCCAGCACCTAGCAAGTGTCTGGTACATAGGAGGGGCCCAGTAAATATCTGTTGAAGGAAAGAGCAAATGTAATACCTTTTCTCCTTATTCTTCCTCTTCTCTTGATATTTAACTAAACTTATCCTAGGAGAATCCTCTCTGTCCCCTCATCCAGGCCAGAAGAGATCACAGGGGCATAGACCAGACACTGTCCTACTGCACAACCTGGTGCCCACATAGAGCAGGGGGCAGTCCCCCAGAAAGTCTCCTGCCCATTAGTTACTACCAGCCTGGCCTAGCTAGGATCATACTCCTAAATCTGATGCCAGACTTGGGCTATAGATAGACCACTGGTTGGGGTGCATGTGTGTGCTACCTGTTACAAAAGTGTTTACAGTTTATTTGGGCACCAAGACTGATCTCTACATGAATTAATGAAAGCAAATGACAACTGGGTTGGGGGTCTCCAAAAGTTCTGGATGGTGAACAGAGATCCAGGCTTGGGGATGAAGTCAGGGCAGTGAAAATGTCTCATTGGAAGGGAGAATAGGGCACCCTCTTGTCACAGCTTGGGCAGGCCAAGCCCACATCACCTGGGACTGCCGTTGTATGCCCAGGATTTTGTTAATTCTCCAGCTGGAAGAGGGCAGAGTCAGAAGAGAGAAAAACTTTGCTCTTTCGTAGGTTGTTGGCTCTCAGCGAGGGGGCGTGTCACTTCACTTAACCTCCAGGGACTCGTCTAAGGGCGAGGTGTGCTGGCCTGCCTAGGCTCCACAGCTATGGCGGCTGATTAAGACCACTTGTGCACCTTGAGAGCACAGGCTGGAGAGCTCGGCCCGCGAAAGAGTGGGAGGACAGCAGAGAGGGGTGTGTTGGGGAGTGAAAGGGCCTGCAGATCTCTATAAGAGAGCCAGGGGCTGAAGCGCACCTCCTCAGAGATCGCCCTGGAGCTCTGGGAGTCCTCGCGCCCCGCGTGCGCGCCCGGCTGCTCCGCGCACCTGCGGCGGGCCCCGCGCGGGTCTGAGCGGCGGGCGGGCCGCGCGCACAGGTGGCGGCGATTGGGCAGGCGGGGCCCGGAGGGTGACGTCACGAGCTCCGGTCCCGGCGGCAGAAATAGGGCAGCCGCGGCGGCGGTGGTACGGCGGCGGCGGTTCACGGAGCTGGAGCCGAGACAGCCTCCTGCGCGTCCGGGACCCGCCGACAGCCGGAGAGACCGACCGAAGGACGCGGGGTCGGGTCGCCGCCACCGCCGCCTCAGGCGCTCCCGCCCGACCGCGTCCTGCCACCTGGTCTTCCCTCGGCCGCGGCCACCTCAGGTACGCGGGCGCGGGGAGAGTGCCAAGACGCCGCCGCCAGCAGCTGGTCCCGCTGCGTCCCGCTGGGGTCCCGGCGCCCGCGGCCCGGCGTCTCCCTGCAGGGCCCTGCGCGGACGCTCGCTTGTCCTCACCGCCGGCTCCAGAGAGCCAAGTTTGCTCCCCTGGCGGGCGGCGGGCACGGGACCACGGGACTCGGGCTCGCCGGGCTACCATGGCCCCGGCCAGGAGTCCGGGGAAAAGCTGGGGTGCGGAGTCTGGTGGCCCCGGTCTGCAGTAGGTATAGGAGTGACACGGCCGGCGCGCGGAGCAGAACCGAGCCCGCAGCCCGCGCCGGCTCGGAGACCCCGCAGGCGCTGCTCCCGGTACTCGGGTCCCCGAGCAGCTTCAGAGAGCTAGGCGAGCGGCAGCCCCGCGGCTGGGCTCGGTGCCCTTGGCCCCGGGCTGGGGTGCGGAGCGCGCGTACTCGCTGCCTCCTACCTCCGGCTTTGCGGGGGAAACTTGCATGTCCGCGCTGCAGCCCGAAGGGCCCGCTGCGCCCCGCCTGGCTGTCGCTCCCCAGAGGTCCACCGCGTCTGCACGTTGGGGCTCGGCGGAGGCTGAGGAGAAGGGACCGGGGCACCACCTCGTTCCGCGAGGCCCGCGGCTCCGGTTCTGTCCAGCGGCTCCGGTTCTTTCCAGCTAGTCTCTGTTACAAGAGAGCGACCAGTGTTCCCTGCTGAGGAGTCGCTGGGGAGCAGTTTGGGGCATGCTCCGGCAGGGAGCTTGGTCCTAAGAGAGCTTGTGCAGTGGGTGATCTCCGCCCCTCTCCGCACCAGCAAAGGAGACCGGTTTCAAGTTTGGGGGGCACTCAGGCGACGCAGACAGAGCGCTGCGCTTTGGGCGCTTGTCGCCCCGAGTTGGTGGCCGAGCGCTGCGCGAGCCTTAGCAGCCCCCTTGAGCTGAGGTAGCGGCGCCTTTGGCGCACTGGCCCACGGCCTGCCACCTGAGGACTTCCGCGCCCGCCACTCTGGCAAGGGCAGAAATCCGCTGCAAGCAGCAGGATTTCTCACGGTGGCCGGGACGTGGCGAGCAGCCCGTGCAGTGCGCCCGCGAGCTCAAGTTCCTGGGGCCCCGGGGAGTCGGGCCCTGCCGGGTCTCCGTGTAGCCCTGCTCGTCGCCCCCGCCCCCCCCTCCGCGCAGTCCAGCCGACCTCGTTCCTTTAATTGTCGCCGACATTGATGAATCGAGCTGCCGCCGCTCTCCTCCGCTCTCCTCCGCTCTCCTCTAGGTGTCGCTTCCTCCGAGGTTTCCCGAGAGTGAAAAACAGCGCTAGTAGCTTTGATCGGTTCCCTTCCTAAATTTATTGCAAGCCTGTGCAAGGGGAATTGTGCCCGAGATAGAAACATTCGTACACATTCTGTGGGCCACGCAGAAACAATTTCATCAAGAGGTGGCACGGCAACTCTTAACCAAATGTGCACAGAGAATGGGCCTCCATCACAGTCTCTGAGGCACAGGGAAGAAATTCAGACATTTATCCAAGGTCTAAAGTTATTTTCCCACCACCAGGCTTAGGGGAAAGTCAGACATGACTTTTAGCAGTGTCCTGTCTATGCTGGACTGGGTAGGTTCCTGTGCTTGCCCTTTCTGGCTCCCAGGACAGGCTTTGATGTGGATGGTGGTTAGGTAGAGGGCTCAGCTGGGGAGTACATGGTCAAGGGAGAGAGTGATGGGGCTTCTAGGACACCAGAGTTTCAGCAATCCTAAGGCAGTAGCTCAAACCCAAGCCATGAACTGATGCCCCACAGGGCCCATGCCTGCTTCCCATCTTGCTTTTGTGAGAAGAGGCTGCAGCATTACTATAGCATTTCTCTTCAGACACCCTTAGCTGAATTGGTAGCTTTCTTTCCATCCTAGGAAAACAGACCCTCCCTCCCCCAAGACTGTAGACTGAGCCAAACGTCATGCAAGATGATAGCTGATTTCATATATACTGTAATGTGTTAAAGTTGTTCCAGTGGCTTTTTCTAAGACTTTTTTTTACCACCCTCAATTTTCCTTAATCTCAGGAAATCAATTTTTATTCCAGAGAGGGGCCAGCCTATTCCCATGGGCCTTGGGAGAACTTTTATCCCTTCTGCTCTGTCCAGGAGGTGGGTGTGTGAGGGGTAGTTTGGATTTTGCTACTTTGACCCATCAGTTGCTCAGGATTCTTCTCTTCATCTCAGAGTTGCAGGAGTTTTTTTTTTTTTAAGTGATCTTCATGTTGTGATCTTCTATTGGATTTAGCACCAAAATCCAGAAACAGGTCATTGAATAGTCACAATTTCCCATATCTTTAATTCCTATTTTACCTTTCTTGGTATGTTTCTGCAAATTCAACCTTCTTATGTTGCTTATGTGTGGTCAGTTGTGTGCTTACTAACTTGATGAAATTAGGAAATTATTTCAAGAGCACATATGTCCTTATACTTTCTTTCCCTTAATGCATAACACAAAGGATGGGACTTTGAGGAAAATAGAACTCCTGTTGGGAGAACGTGGTACTTAAGCGTATAGATGTTGAAATGATGAGGGTTCCTGGAACTCACAGGTGAGTGTTGAAATGATGAGGGTTCCTGGAACTCACAGGTGTGTGGGTTAAACTTCTTGGTATATAGGCGTGTCATAGATGGATCTTTTGTCCACAGACTAATTTAGGCATTCAATTTATCAAATGTTGGAACGATTAACCAAAGATAAAGAGCAGATAATTAATGGAAAATGCAGTGTAACTTCATTATGGCTTGCTGCAGGGGTGGCCTGATACATTTCCATGCCTAAGTTCCTTGGGTTGGTATTTGAGGGGCTATCTTAGGAAGTTTGAACCCCTTCCTTTTTTCTTAAAACACTTGGATATCAAAACTAGGGTCCTGAGCCTTTCCGAGGAAATTAATTTGTAGCCTTGTGGTGTTAGGTTAGGGTCAATATGGCTTTTCTTTTTTTCCTTTTAACATTGGGTAGACATACCAGAGGCTGCAGGATTTTGGTGGTCTCCAGGTGGTTTGCATTTGTTGATTGCCAACATCCCATGTGCAAAATACAATGCCCCTCTAGTAATTGGCTAAACATACACTTGGTTAGTTGGAAAGATTGGAAATTGAGGTGCCTCAGGGTCATAAAACTTACTGTTCTCTTTAAGGCTGGGGTGGTATTGCTTGGTTTTACCAAAGCATCTTCATAATTTCTGGTCTTGGTGGTTACAAAGAGAAGCCTTTTCCATGAGGCTAAATTGTAACATCTAATTCGGTAACGTTCCCATATTCTGGGAGAGATGCTGAGAGAGAACTGATGAGTAATGTCTCTGGAAGCTCTCAGGGTCTGAAGTCCCACTGTGCCCAAACAAGGCTGGTTCCCAGAGGAGAAAAGGGAAGTTTGTATTAGAACCACTGCCAGTTTAGTGTCCATGCATCTCCCTGGCCTCTGACCCCATTCAGTACAGACCACTTGCATGCTGGTGTGTGTTCTCTGGTGGGGCAGATTTGGAATCGACCTATTCACGCCTATTTCTCCCTAACCACTTGCCATTCTTATGTCACATTTTTCAGTTTCTTGGAAAAGTGAGTCAGTTTTCTGAATGTCACATCTTACAAATTTGTAGTACCTCTATAATTTTAAATACAAGTAATAACACACGTAGTGGCTTCTAATTATAAAACCAGAAAAATCCTGTGCTTTGCACACAGAGCAGGTTCTTGATCTAGTAGGGCCCATCCTGTCTGATTGAGACAGAATGCCAACATTCCATATGTATTTGTGACAATGTAAGAGACAAAGCCATTGCCTTGGGGTCAGGAGGCCTGGTTTCAGTCTAGATCTGTCTCCTGATTTGGCTACCACATGGGGTGAATTCTTTGGCCTTCCAGGCTTCTGGTGTCCTGTCTGTACCACAGCCAACCTAGCTCCTGATTCTCTTGATCATGGGGGAAAGTGAGGCTTGGGTGGAAAACCTCAGGGGAACCAGGTCTTTAATATCAAGTGATTGTGCTTTATGAGTTGTTTGAAAGAAAATGCAGTCCAGCTCTTTTACGAGAAAGGTCTCCGGTAGATTTATAGCCAATCTTAGGACTCTGGCATGGATTGAATGAAGCTTATGAACCTAAATTGATCTCAAAAGGAGCTCAAGGTTGAAAAAGAGAGTTTGTGATATTATAGGTGGTACTTTGCCATTTCTATAATGAGGAGATCCTTGTATTTTCTTCTGTCTGAAGATCAGTGGGGATCTTTGAAGGTGAGGAGTAATGAATCAACAGATCTCCTTCCCCCAGACTGAATGTCTTCCTCATGTTGGCGCTCCCCGTCCGTTGAGAGGCATCCTTGCTGCCCAGCGTTCTGTGCATCTCCTCATGATTTCTTTCTTTCTTTTTTTTTTTTTTTTTCCCTACTACATTTCTTCCTGGCTGATAGAGACAGCAGTTCTGAGAGCTGAGGACCGTGTGCCAAGTGGCCCCGTTCCGGGGAGGGATGCAGAGAGAAGCTGTGTGGTTCTTTCCTCACACTCAGTCCCTCTGGAGTAGTGTGGCTCTTGGCAGCTGTCAGAGGAAAGGAGAGACTCAGAATTTCCTCTCTTGCTTGACCTAGGCTTTCCCCATCTTGCTAAGAACAACTGTTGGCTGAAACAAAATACCGCAAAGTATTGAGAGGCAGCAGAGGGAGGCTGTGAAGAGCACAGACGTCTCGCCCAATCTACCATGCTACATGGCTTGGCGTCCCAGCTCTGCCATTTATTTGCCACATGGCTTTGGCAGGGTGCTTAGCCTCTCTGTGGCCTGTCTGCTCTGTCATCTGACTAGGGGATTCTTAATGCCCTCCTCATGGAGTAGAAGTGAGGCGAGTGAGTGAATACCTGTGAAGAGTTTAGAACAGCACCTGACACATGTTATTGTTACGTAAGTTCTAACCAAAGAGATAGCTTCTATTTGGCTATTACATACATCATCAAAATTGGTTTCGACCCAATATTAATTCTTTTTTTATGAGCTGAGCTGTCATAAAACTTGAGTTGTAAATTTTCAGGCTGTTGCTCCTGTAGATAAAATGAGTTGTCAATCACAGTGAGTATAAAATGACATCGGACAGGCATCCACCGTGCAAATGGAGTCCCATCTGGTGGTGGCCAAGCTGAGCGAAATGTTACAAAGAAGCTGGGAATGTTTCAGACATTGGCCTGGCTCTTGTGTTTCCTTGTCTTTAAATCTTCGGGTAACCTCAGTGTAAACCAGATAAAACCAGACATGAGTCCAGGTGCCATAGGCCTGGAGCCCAGGCTCCCGGAAGCAACAACTCGAAACAACTGGTTTAATACCACAGGTCTGGGTATACCTTCTAAAATAGTTTTGCAGCTTGCCAAAATAATAATTGAGGTGAACGGATTTTATTTTGATGCTATCCATTAATAATAAAACATCAAACATAATTGATTTTGGATTACTAGGCAAATTGAAAACTAAATAGTCAGTTTTGTGGCTTGAATATCTCATAACTCCAGAAACTGACAATTGTATATTGAGTCAGTTTTGATTATTTTGCTATTTTTGGTTTATTCGGGCTTAAAAACATGATGGGGGAGAAAAGAAGACCTTTTGTACATGTGCTTGCCCCATGAGTGCTGTTTCATAGTGGATAAGTAGGGAATAATTCTCAAAAATAAAGTAGGAAGTAGTGTCTTTCTAGTTCTAGCTTAAGTACTGGTTTTTTTTTTTTTAATATTTATTTATTTTAGAGAGAGAACATATGTGCATGAGCGGGAGGGGCAGAGGGAGAGAGAATCTTCAGGAGACTCCAGGCTGCGCATGGAACCTGATACAGGGCTTGATCTCCCAACCCCAAGGTCATGACCTGAGCTGAAAGCAAGATACCTAGGTGCCCCTTAGTATTGGTGTGTTAAAAAAGAATTCCAAAAATCTGGTAAATGCTTTCTGCAGTTCCAGGCACATGGCTCTGCATTCAGAAGATAATAATTTATGGAGAGTAGGGAGTTGCCCTATTTATTTTCAGAAGAACTGGTTGCAGTTTTTACTTTCTTTTAGGTTTGAATTTGATTTTTCTCCACACTCCGCAGTCTGTGTGAAGAACTTACACACTGTTGCCAGAGCTCTGGATCAGGAGCATGGCTCAGGGACTGCTGGGAATGCTCTACTTCTGTCCCAGGTAGCATTGCATGAGGCATCGTTGCCCTTAGCTCTGCCTTCCTCAGAGTGCGGAGCAGGTGCTGACGGTGACAAGACTGTGACCTTCACACTATGTTTATTGCTCACTCAGACTACTGTCTCAGTCACTCCAGCTTTGCCAACAGATGTCAAAGATGAAGAGACAGATAGAGGAATGGAAGCCTGTGGACTATTTGTATGACAAGAGACATGTTTTCTTAAAAGACCGTCATGACTTACAACCTTGCCTTTTCAGAGGCCAGTGTTAGATGCCATAATTTTTAGCCCGATTTCTCCTTCATGTGGGCATTTTCTGTCTCAAGTGAGGGATATAAAGCATATCTGGAAAGGCAGCCAAAGGAAGCTGGGAATGTGGTAGGAGTGAATTTGTTTGGTGGTCCTGGGATCAGTGCTAGTGATGGTGGGATACCTCCAACCCTTCTTGTTCAAAGTAGGCATCCCCCACAGCTCTCACCATAGGAGTGAGAGGGTGTGGACTCCTCCACCAGCCTGTAATGTCTGCCAAGCTGCTCACCTGCCCTGGACCAGTTCAAGGCCAGATCACATGGGGTGCTGGCCTCCGAAGCGCTCTGTGTTTCCATCTTCCCCACCACAATCAGGATGCCGTGTGCACCACATTCAATTAAGCACTAAATTGTGTAATGCTCACAGAAATCAATAAGCCGTCTGGTTTCCTTGAGGACAAGTTGTAAATTCTGCACTATGAGTTCTATCTCCCTGGCTGCGTTTCTTGGACAGAGGTGCTGAAATCAAGGTTGGAATGTTGCAGTGGAAACCTTTAAAAAAAAAAAAAAAAGGTAGGGCTGATTGGACAGGTTTACTAGCCTGTGTCCTTGTCCCATTAGCACCTCAGCATGTGATAGGGAGTTGAATATCTGTTGTGGCTGATCCTTAGCTTTTTCATCTGTGTAATTCTTTGGTTACTTTGATTTGCCCATTTCTTTTAGGACTTCAGACCTCTTACCCCATGAGCCTCAGGAACCACCTTAAAGGTTATTGAAATCCCATTATCCACTGGGTGCTTGAATTCCTTTACAGGAAGGAACAGTCTTGAAAGGAAGATTTTGAGCCTTATGCCCTTTTGAAGCTCGCTGTCTTATAAACTGAGACGTCAGCCACAAACAGGGTGCCTTACATGTAACATAATTCCTCATCAGTCTTCACTGATCACTAATTGTGTGCCCAGCCCCAGTGCTTTCTAAAGGGACTGAAGCTTGGCTGTGTGGTTATGGAACAGAAGTGACACAGCTGCTCCCCGCTTGTTGGTTCTTGTCAAGGGAGTGGTAGCTGCCGTGTTGGGTGGCTTTCCACACCATTGCATGCATAGAGTTGTTAACTCTGTGTCTGACACTGACTTCTTTGACCCTCACCACAATCCTATGAAATACATATTATGGAACCCTTTTTAGAGGTGAATTAACTAAGGCTCAGAAGTACTAGAACTTCTCCAAAGTAGGGCAGAAGGGCTGGTGGTAGGATTTAAACTCTGGTGTCTCTGATTCTGGAGTACAAGCTCTACCTACCCACCCTGTGACGTGCTAATGTTTTGCAGGTATTTAATTCTGAACATCTGTCATTTTCTCAACAGACTCCACGAAATGAAACGGGGACGCTTATGGCTGCATCTCATGCTGCTTGGGGCCTCCCTGCCAGCTGCGCTGGGATGGATGGACCCAGGACCCAGCAGAGGCCTGAACATGGGTGTGGGTAACCCACAGATGGAGGTATGGTCACATAACACCTGCTAGGATGCTTGAAACTTGCTGCTTTTCCATGCCAGTGTATCTGATTTCTTCTCTACCTTTGGCTTATATCAGTTAGATTGCAGTGTGAGTTAAAATTGTTCCCCCTTTTTGACAGGGGACAGAAGGACACAGCATGCATTGGTCTGGACAGGAGGTTTTATGTCATGCTGTAAGTGATAGTCTAAAATCTCTGCAATGCTGAAAACGTGTTCCAAAACCAGGCTTCAGTTGTATGGTTTGTCTTCCGCAAAGAGCCTCAAGAGAATGGCCTTTTTGTATATTTAATAAAACTCTGAAAATGCAGACTCAATGGTAGAGCACACCCATGTGAATTAATGAAGTCTTTTAATTACAAAATGTGTTTTAAAAGAGAGAGACTCCTTTTCACGTACCCAGATAAAAAACACCAGGCTGAGAAAGAACTGGCAAGTAGGGGTCCTAAGGGAGCCTGTCTTAATGAACAGATAAGAATGATTAATGGCATGTTAGGTATATATAAATGCTTCTAAAGTGCTTGAAAAACTTATTCTCAAATGCCTCCCCAGAGAGTCTCAATACACTGCTAATTGCTCAGCGAACTTGGTCTTAAGTACCGGAGAGGATTCATAAGCTGCACCCTCGCCCTGCTCAGGTAGTAGGCCTGAGGAATTTGGGGCTTGTGAGGGGGTGCAGTTTCTCTGCAGAAATTGCTTTGTGCGTGCCAGACCCTACCTGGGTCATAAAGAAAATCCCAGCTACTTGGGATTTTCTTTATGACATGGTAAATGCAAATTCTTGCCCAAGAGCTTCTCCGGCCATTTCAGCTCCCATTGCCTTCCTGGTGCACGCCTGCCTCTTGTCTCTTTGCTTGTTTCCCGTCCTGTGGAATGAGAGAGAAAAATTACCTCCCAAAGTCAACATCACCAGAGAGTGAATAATGACACACAGTGTATGGATGGTAGGATTAATGCATTATTTGATCAAGAGACACGATGTCTTTCTCATTATTACTTAATCGTAATGCAATCCCAGACCTACAGACCTTAATCTCCGGGGAGCTTCAGAAGTCTTTGAATGCCCACGTTTGCTGCTGAGGTTCACATGGCTTCCTTTTGTGGTGAGCGGGTGATTGAAGAGCGTCACTCTCTCTCCCATCACAGTCCGTGAAGGACACGACTTAATGGTCTTTTGAAAGAGCCTGGAGGCTGACTCACTAGCCAGCACAGCATTTCCCATATGGGATGGCTTAATCGTTACACTCATATCCATACAGAGGGAAAAGGATCCTACAAATATATTGTTGAATATTTAATAGCGAAGCAAACAGGCAAACACACAGATAAGCTTTTTTAGTCTTCTTACTATTGGGGCTCATTGGCCCACTCTTTTAAATTGCCTATTTCAATTAAAGGAGTCAAACCAATTAAGGTAGGATTTAGCTGGAGGTAAAGTGAAGGTAAGTTAATATCAAAGTTAATATCAACCTAGGGCATCTTTATCTTGGCTGTTAACAGCCTAACACCAAGAAAGAGCAGATAGTGCTTGTTCCAAGGCAGGGAGGCTTTCTGTTGGTTAGTTTTGGGGTGTTGTTTTTCTTGCTGCATCAGGATAGAGCCCAGGAGATGAAGCCCTCTCCCATTTCCAGGCCTTGTGCTGTTTCGGGAAAAGGAAAGGATGCCCATACGGACTCCAAACGCAGGAACAGCTGCCCTATCAATCCAGTATTCGTGGCTGTGCATTGCATTTTTGCAAAGTGTAGTAACTTGTACTCGTGGAGTCCGTTTTTATCAATGATGAAATGAGAAGATGGTCATGTGGATGGGCCTAGGCTATAGGACAGCCTCAGCAAGGTTCCGATAGAGCAGGACATGGATATGGAATCGATGTGTGCTGATTCTGACCATGCTCCATGCATGGCCTCTCCATGCCGTTCCTCACTAGCATCACATGTTGGATTCGTCCCTTCATCCCACATACTGACTCCTCTCCTCCAGGGCTTAGCTCTGGTTCTCATCTTTTCTCTGGAACCTTCTTGGAGCACACTTTGGTCAAATTTGATGTCGTGTTCTGAACTAGTCCTTTTTTTTTTTTTTTTTTTTAAATCCATATTTTTGTGTTAGCAGACAAAGGAAGCCAATTTTATATATGTTTCCCTTCCTTACAATGTCCAATAATTTTCAGAGCACAGTAGAGACTCATTGTGTTTTTGAGCTGATTGGTATTCAACATTCAGTATTAGTGGTGAAGTCACTCTAGTGTTGTCAAACTTTAGTGTAGACCGTCAGTAATTTCTGCGCATGGCAGCACGACCTGCGTGGCAGGTGCATGTCCAGTGGGGACATGAATGGTCCCCCAGCCAAGCTGTAGGCAGCTTATTGGCCAGGCTTGTCACTCATCAACATCCAGGTATTTCTCCTTCGGATTATAGCTACTAATACAGTCCATAACTGACTGTCCAGACTATACTAAACTCCTCTAGCAGTTTCCTCAGACAATCTTACTTTCTGGAACAATCATAGCCAACCGAGTTTCCTGAGACTCCATAAATTAATCAGGACCTAAATGGTAAAACGTTTCTGTGTGTGTTTTCTTCCTGCTAGTACTACTTGGCAAAAACATTCATTGACTTCAGATTTTTAAAGTACTTGGAAAGCATTAATAAGATTTGACTTCCCTTTAAAGTTATTACACCAATTACTTGAGCATCCTAAGGGTAAATAAGGATGAAATGACCAGAGCATATGTGCCTTCACTCATTTGTAAAGCAATGACAGTGTATGTAAGTTTTGTTAAATTATTGTTTTATGTACAAAGACTGCAGTTGAAATAGCTTCAAGGAGTTTATCGTTTTACAAATGTAGATGAAACGAAGTGGAGCTGGGTGGAGTGCCTCTTTAATAAGAACTGAGTGGCAGACTGTGGCCTAGAATACTAATGAAATTCTGAATTCAGAGGAAACAGTTCTGAGAGATACAACTCAACAAAATTCTAAAATAATTAAAATCTCCCCCTTTCCCCTATTCTCTGGCCAAGGTAAATGTAGTACTAAAATCAGTATTGGTAGAATTTTATATTTGGGGAGAATAGGAAAGTGAGAGAGGTCAGCCCCAGGGCCCCGCCTTCTTCTGAGGGGCAGACATTTGTGGGAGGGTTCCCCCTTCCTTCCAGCCCTCACTGCTGGGTTCCCACTGTTCGCTGGGATCTCAGATTGGATGGTGGCCCTTAACAGCCTTATGTGTCCTTCATATATCCTGCTGTACCTTCTCCACCTTGCTCTGACCCACAGTTACTAGTCCTGTACTAAATATGCCTCAGTGCTTACAGACCAGGGAAGGGCTGTGAGGTCAGACACCCAGTGTTTTCAATGTGTGCAAGCTGTGAGACGGTAGTTTTTGAGGAATAAATGTTTCTGGTGGTCTCAGTAATCAGGGTGGTCACCCACCTCCCTAACCCCAGGAGAGTCAGCCTAAGAAAGCACATACTAGCCCTTTGCCCTTCTGCATGTATTAGTCCTAGATGCCACTGACTGCACCGAGGGGTGCCCCCGTCCCTGGGTGGGGGTGTCTCCTAAGGCAGAGACCTGGAGTGCTCCGGCTTCCTTTTACATTTCTTGGGCATTGAGGAAGATGGAGGCTGCTAAGACTGGGCACTAATTTTTTAAAAATAATTCTTTTCTTGAGTTAGTGTTGTTACTGTTATGTAGTTGATTGATTTTAAGACAACGCTCCTCTAGTTATGGTCTCCTCCCCATCCCCAACCCATGGTCCACTCTTCTGACTGGTGATGGAGAGAGTAGCTGATCTTCTTGTGGGCTTTGAGGCATCCATTATTCACCTCTCCTTCCTCTTGCCCCTCCATCTGTGGGTGTGGGAACACCACCTCCCTTCTCCCTGCAAACAGTTGGGGTCTGGGCTGGTATTTTTTGAACCTCATCTATAGACCTATGTTCATGTCTTATGGATGTTTTCTTTGGGGTCCCCATTCCTAGACACTCAACGGTACCAACTCCGACATTTAACTGGCTTGCCACAGTGAGCTTCTAGGTGAGCTGTCCCAGCAAAGGGCCTAAGTGGGCCTTCCCCGGGGCGTGGGACTGCGGGCTACAACCCCCTTGGAGGATCCAGGACCTCTGTGCATCTGTAGACCTGGCATGGGGAGGGAAGGGAGGGCGGCTTCTTCTCTGATTCTGGAATATTCGGGCATGGCTGCCTACTGACAATTCTCCATCAGAGGTGTGGATTTTTAGTTTCTCAGCTCAAATTGAGAGAACAAAACCTCTCATCTGTTGATGTGCGAGTAAATCCCTAGTATTCTTGGTGAAAGATGGTGGCGAGTACTGCAAGTTCCTAGGGGCATTGGAGGAGCCAGTTCTTACCTTTGGAGTTAGTGCAGGCTGTGCCCTACACCAGCCTCTCTTGAAATTCAGTGTGCTTGCAAAGAGCGGGGGTCCTGTTAAAATGCCAATGCAGTAGAGCTAGAGGGGATGGTCCTGAGAGTCTGCCTTTCTCGTGAGCTCCAGGTGATGCTGATACTTCTGGTCCCAGGGGACACTGGACACAAAGGCCATAGAGGAGACCCCTCTATCCTGCCTGTGTACATCCCAGAAGGAGATTCCTTTGGTGATGAAACCCAGCTTTTTTATTTGTTTTTGGTTTTGTTTTTTAGTTTTTGTCAATGTGACAAGGCTGCCTGTAGTCAGCAAAAGGAGCTGAATGTACAGGGTGCCATCCTGCTGGGAGATAGCTTCACACTGGGTGGGCTTGCAGGCAGGTGGGCGAGGGAAGTAGCCTGGCTTTCAGAGTCTTTTTCACCTATTTTGAAGCAAGCAAGTGGACAGACAAGCTTGGCTCTCTGTGTGTAGGGTTCCTCACTGTTTGGGTGCAGGCGATTTAAATCCTGAGGTTCCGCCCACACTCTCGTGCTCCCACCCATCACTGTCTCTCTGTCACTCATACAGGTGTCCTGCCCAGTTCCTGTCCCCAGAGCCCAGCCAGACTTTT